TTGTAAGTGGAATACATTGCAAGTAGACCTATCGATATTCACCTTGGTAAAATTAGGAACACCTATGAGGGCGTCAGGGTCATCAGGGTAGACATCGTCGAAGTATGTAGCGAACGCGGTAAAAAGACGATGTAGACTTTGACGTCGACATTGACTAGATGGTGGTATGCCGAAGCCGTGATGTTAAGCCCAACCGTTAGGTACGGCTTAAGCGCATCGAGGGCATATCCTCGACGTTCAGCCTCTTTGATACAAGGATCTTCGAGTGCAGCATCCTCGACGGATGGCAACTGAATGGTGTCAAAATGGTGCAGGAAAGAGCGCAATATGTCTTCAGTGGTCCGCCTCCGCGGAAGGTTTGGCAACCCAAGTACGCGTCCTGAGAGGAATAAACCAAAGGAACCTTAGTGCGAAGAAGAGCACAGTGAAGACAAAAATACCATACCGGCTAGATTCGACAGAGCAGAAGCCCAGGATTGAAATCTCCGACTTTGGATAGTATGAAGGTCAACGCGTGAAAGAGCCATTGTTAATACTTTGTCAGACGCGCCTTGCTTAGGCTTTGACGTAGGGTATCGATACGACGGGAATCCATACGAAGTTTCGCCTTCAATGTATACTCTCAGAAACCACCAACGAGAACATCACGCATCCAAAAACAGACCTTCATGCATATGCTCCATACTCAGCTTATCACCGGAATCGCCTATTCCCCGGAGGTCAATAACTGCACAAATAGAGAATTATGATGGTGGAAATTAGAGCGAAGGGACGGCGTTGCTCGTGAACCAATACAACTCCCAGAGGTGGCCCACCAACAGGCAATAGCGTGGTGTTTGTTGCTCTAGGTAGAAGTTAGCACCCACGTTGGGATTCCACGTTCATTTTACAGCCATCTCTACACCCGAGCCCTCCTTTGTCATTGATCGCACGCTTCCTACGGCGCCTGTAGTGCGACGAGAAATCTCACGTTCCGGAGATTTCCAGGTAAATCATACTGAGTACGAAAATGAGTGTCTGGAAGAACAAGAAAACAATGGGGTGTGTTCAAGAAGCTGAGAACTATGCCACATGAGGTGGATATTAAGGGAGACGGAGGGCTAAACTTTCATCGAGGAGGAAAGCAAGACCGAGTCACAGCAGGATCAGCGGAAGCTACCGACAATGCGATTCCCGAAGACATCGCCATTCCGCTATTCACCATCACGTTGATCCTCTTCGAAGGTCATCAGAGAGTAACAGCGCATACTCCGGGTCGCTCGTATCATGAAGTATCGACCATGACTCGCGGATTCCGAAGAGCTGGCGGACTTTGAGCAGAAGGAACCAGTGCATGGCTCTCCATACTACACGCGAATATACCGGAGAACAACTTTGACGCGCTGAGACATTCAATGTCATGATTGTGGACACGGCATTATCCGACAAACTGTAGTTGGGAAAGGTTTTCAAGCTAACGCCAAAACCATCTCCTTGCGATCGGTTTCTCACATGCTAGCCCAAGAATGAATCGAGAGGCACGATAGCCATGTATTCCACCACAAGCTAGACTCGTCTCCCCGAAAGTCGCGATGCAACACTGTAACTGCATCAAGCATGCTGGAAGAACCATACCGACAGGAGATATGATAGCGACCGCGTCAGATGCAAGACGATAGTATCTTCCAAACGGAAGAAGTGGACAGGCCCTACAATATAGGTTAGGTAGGTATCGCTATATTTGACGCTAATATATACTCACAAATTTGTGTCAGCCCTCTGATATCGCAAATGTGTTTATCGCCGTAATGGTAACAATGCATGGAAGAATGTCATACTCTTTTGCCGATGATGGGGGAGGGAGGAATACGGCTAGCGCGCCTCTTGGCTTCAAACATTCATTTTCCCAAAATGAGATCTGCATGGACCTTGTTTTCTATTGTTGTTGTATGGCAGTCCATAATTTTTGCAACAGCGCTGCTAATACAATATAGGCCAGCGGGAATGGGGATGGTGGAAGCTTTCCGCGTCAGGAGAAAAGGAACAGTGTGCGTCTTAACAACGGTACCGGTAGCCAGACCAACGACGTTGTGTGAGACAATAAGGAAGGAATTGGGTGTTGCCTTCATTCTGATTCCACATTCGTTCAAGAACCATGTTTTCCCCTGGGACTCTCTATTTGCATTGATCGGTGTCCGACGGCGTCTCGCGATACTAACATACGAGTTCAGCTAGACAGTCAAAATTTTCCCAGGAAAATGGAACAGAGCGATCACAGTGTGGCCAGGAACGTCAAGCAGAAGCCTGGACTGATGAAGGTAGGGGTGATGCAACTGTGCCGGAGGAAACTGGTAGTAACACCGTGCCACTGCAGGTACCAGTAACGAACCTCGCCACCTCGCCATTGACCTTCACCCTCTTGGATGGGTACAAGGGAACAACAGCCGGTACCCGTTTCTGGATAGCCCATGGCCACGTGAACCCGAGAAGCAACGCTGAGTTTGAGAAACGTTCTTGTTAGATTGAGAAGAATGTATCAAGAGATATGATAACAGCGCGTCGAATAGGAGACCCTGTAATGCGGTGAGAACAACGCGAAATTGAAATTAGACATTTGGCTCTCTCTGTGCTAGGCCCCAGCATACGTACCATAGTTTTAACATTAGCACTCTGTCGCCAATAATCTACTTCATTATAATGAAACGGTATTAGCGTTGATGGTGGTACGTGAAGGAAGTTGAACGCGATGATTTATTTTCGTACGTAAGGTGCATCACGTGCACTGCCACCTCTTTTCCAACTCGACCAGCCCTGGCCCAGCACCAACACCAACATGGGTGATGTCGCTATGGGCTTCGCCTACCTTATCTCTTGTTGTTGTCTGTCCACCCCATGACTATTACAACCAGGCTGCTAACACTTCACAGGTTGCTGCTTCTCCAGCGACCCAGGACCCGAAGGATCTGGCTTACGATACGCGAAACGGGACCCCCGAGAGGATTTGGTAGATCAGGAATTCAGATCACGGATGTACAAGAAGGATAAGGCTGGGTACATCCATATGCAGCCGAGATCATCGAGGTATTTTATTGTTTGCTGTGATATCGACTCGAAATCCTGATGCCAACGGCCTGTAGCTCTACAAGTGCCGTTTCTTCAAAATTACCCTTATCACCGGAAGATCCAACGTTGTCTTGACCTTTCAACCGGCGTCCGATCGCAGCGAGAAGAGGCAGCTATAATTATTGCGTTGTACTGCTGTATCGCGACACTTCGGGCCGTAGTCCTGGCCGTCTTTTGCTTGGAGCTGACGATTGTCAATGTATAGATTCTCACAACAACCACCCGCCAGGTTCGTATGGATCGGAGATGAGGCTATTTATTGGGGTCTATCTATACTCGGATAGAGTGAGCGCGTCAGCTACTCCAAACTTCTAATCCTTAAAGGAACCCGAGAACCCAGATGCGCTTCACCTTTCACGACAGGCACAATCGCCTGTGAGCCAGGGAACTGCTGTATTACCGTGCCCTCCGGCAAACTGAATTCAAAGTTTTGAATGAGGTTCGCTAGAATTGTTTGCATCTCCATGACACTGTAATTAGAGATGAGTGAATTGTATGGAACTGATTATGATGGAAGCAAAAACGCACGCAAATCGCCACCTATTTATGAGCAAAAAGTTAGGTCAGTAGATGTTTATCGAGAAAGATAGCTTTCAAGTCAATAATCACCCGATGCACGAACGAGAGCCACTACCTAAGCATAGCGTGAATGAGCCGATGTGAGTATATTGAAGAATGGCTTACTGAACGTCATCCTGGATCTCAAATTAGGGAACTAATAGATTAAAAATATCTGATGGTACTTACAAATTGGCATAGACTCCCAATGACACAGGGATACTCTTCTCGAGGAATCGAGATGGATTCCATTTTTCTGCGTCATCACCCAGATGGACGGCAGACTTAGAAAAGTTGGCGATAACTTCACGGCGAAGCGGGATAGGACAAACGTACCGGTTGTACGAGTACACGGAACAAAGAAGTGTCTGTCCCTTGGGAATTGTCAGTGTCTTAGACCCCGAAAGAGGCAAAATGTCGTCATAAGGAGCAGTACGCATAGGTGCATGCACCATGGGATGAAACCGAAGAACTTCCTACAACCAGAGGATCGTAAATTCATGGACGTCGGGAAAGAGGCTGGCACACTCACTTTGATTGCAGCGTTCAAAAATGGCAGAGAATCATAGTCATTGTGATATGAGTGCTTTACTTCTTCGCGTATTATGGATTGGTGCTCGGGATGTGCGGCGAGTTCGTACAGCAACCAGGACAGGGGTCGCGCTTGTTGTCTCATGCCCGGCAATTAGAAACGTCCTAAGGGAAGAACAGTCGCCATCAGACGGGTACTAGTAACTAGAAGGAAAGGCGACGAACATAAACTGGAGCTCAATTTCATCATCCGACATTTGTCCGGTAAGACGTGCCCTCGCTAAACCAAGAGCATGAACAACGATTTCGGATAGACCAAGTCTTCCGACTCACTTAGAATATCAACAATGTCCTTATCCAACTCATCCTGCACCCCGAGTTTAGCTTGGGCAGCCAAGATCTCTCGAGCAATCTTTCTTGCTGTTTCTCCTACACTGGCCAGCTGGCGAGTTTTCTCGGGTCTGACACAACTTGAGAATCTTCAACACGGAATGCGGAAGCATTCGTATCAGGGCTACAACCATGAGTTCTAGAGCGGATGGATCGGACTGCGAGGCCGTGCTGTATTTGAATGTTAGATATATTCGCCGTCAAGATCGAGAAGATCGAATCTGCATACAATAGGTGCTTCATCGCTTCCCCCAACTCAGTATCTTGACCGTCCAGTGATCCGAAATCGTATCGAAAAAGCACCTGTTGGATATTAGACCAGCTTGCGTATAAAAACCGTTGATACCACTTGCTTAGGCCGATTATATCAAGCGAGACCTTGCCCATCCAATCGACAACGTCGATTTTTTCGCCAGTACCGGTAGAGATTTTCATGGCGTTTACAACCTAACAGATGATCACGATCAAGTCGTCGATCAATACATAAATAGACTCGCCTTATCGCTGCACCGTTGGAATATAACCTGATAATCCCGCAGATTAGCAGGAGAGAACGCCGGATTCAGGATCTTGCGTTGTCGACGATGGACATCCTCTAAACAAACATGTAAGCGTAAGATAGCGTTGGTATCAATACGAAACTCGTTCACTTTCGACTACAATGAGCCCTTCGGTCCCTCCAAGGATGAGACCAAAGATAAAGTTTGTGTCCGAAGTCTTGGGATAAGGACGTGAGGTATGGAAAATGTGTTCGAAGGCCTTGGGGTCGGATACTACCAGAAGGTCTTGCTAGGTGCCACCATTGATTTCAGCTGGTATGAAGTGAAGGAGTTGAGGGCAAGCTTACACCAAAACAACCTCTAATGCGGTAGATGGTGCCATACTCACTGCGCCATTTCGTTTCGAGATCGCCAAATTCATCTTGACTGCGAAGGACAAGCTCATGGCCTGGCATACGATGTTTGATTCAACGGTTTAAGCTAGATAACATAGCATTGACACTTACCTAGCCAGAAAGAGGCAGACGGTGGTCCCTCGACATGTTTAACAGAAATGCGTTTTAACCACCAGCGAAGCAAAGCGACTGCGAGGATGGAAGCGAATGCTAAGGAGAAGAGGGACATTGGTGAGTAGGGCTCGTTTCACAGTTCACGATTCGAAGTGCTGAAGGGTTCTGATTTATAGAACGAGGTTCAGACATATGGGTGACATCTCTTCCGTCAGGTCCGCATGTCAACTGTTTTCGTTCGGAGAACAATATTAACCGCCCGGTGCTCCCACGGACTCGTAGAATCCTATAGATCGAAGAAAGTGGAAAGCCCTGGGTGCCTTACGGAACAATCCTCTCGTTTCGGGCTCGCGCCACTCAAACCAAACCTGTGTTGATTTTTACAGTGCCATGTACGGGATAGGACGAGATGCTCTGATGATGAACTAGCTCATATTCTGTCCCAGGAACCCATGCTTGAGATGCGCGCGCGCGCGCCAGTGCCCTTAAGAGTGAAGTACACTTGGCATCCGCGAGCGGTCATATGAGACCTCCGGATAGATACAGATCAAACACGTTCCTCTGTATTGAGAAATGTAAAAGCGCGTTAGAGAACAGGTCCTGAACGTCAAGCAACGAAATAACGTCAGGTTCAGGAAGAAGATCAATGGCACTGCTATGTCTCCGATGTTCGGCATTTATATATTTAGATCTGGCTCGCAAGTTCAGGATAATTGGCCTCAAGTGAGTTGAAGAATTATGTCTCCCACGCGTGACGTGAGTTGAGATGTGCGAAATGGAGTCAATTCCCGATATATGAAAGCCTTTTTAGATATCCCACGCACCCAGGAGAATGCTGAAACGAGGGAAGGGGGAGGAAGATGGAAATCCACCCATTCAGTACTTGGATCGCGGAACCCAGGATACCCGGCACTAAGAAGACGTCAGTATAGATGATATGAATAGAGGATATCACAGACGAACTTGATGACAAAAATATGGAGCTTACCATCAATTCCTCTAGTGTGCTTTGCACCAGCCCTGATGCATTCTTAGCCAGCGGCATTCACCTGGATTGCGGAGAGCGCATCAGGGCGTAGCGCCATGGGGAAGGAAGGACAATAGATCCTGAGATGCCTGCAACTGACGCGGCAGCTTGCGGCTAGCGCATCCAGCCTTCGTCCATTGACATGTGCTTCGACTCCGTTTGTAGCGAATGCCTTAGCAATCAGAAAACATCTATCAAAAGTTAACTAAGTAATAGATACAAAGAGCACCACAAGGCTTACAGTCCTATACCTCTACCTGTGATCTACTCGTCCAGAGAACAACATCACCGTAGCTATACTGAGATCTGCCATGTTCACGGTGTGTTGAATACGGATCCGTGTACATTAAACTGTCGTTGAATTATCCAAGGTGAGGGTATGCGCGTCTAAAACAGCGTAAATACGAGGCACATAGAAGAGGTATATAGTACAGAGACGTACTAGCGTCTTTGCCCAATGTTTCGCATAATATTGTCTTTCGTCTCTTTGATCTTATTGCCAGTTGAAGCTGGGATTCCTGTGGTCGCAATCGCGTTCTTGGACTCCAGTACTCGTTTGAGGAGTTCCTCCAATCCGACGGTCTCCGTAGTTTCGAGGATGAATAGAGAGAGAAGAGGGCATCGGCACTGGAGTACTGGTAGACGATGTTAGAGTCAAAGCGCGTTTCAAACCCCGACACCACCAACACCAACACCAGCGTACCACAATCACCATTTACCAGATACGGTCACGGTCTCCAACGCCTCCACTCGTCAGTTCACCAACCTAGGAGAGGTACCGAGATGAACGTCCCGGGAGATTGTGGTCAGTCAGCACGAGCATACCGATGGTGCCGGTCTCTTGGGTGAGCTCGTATCGATTTCCTATGGTACTCGCATTGATGCTTATAGCAGGGACACCTTTTCAGGCAAGATAAATGAACAAAATAGAGCAGCAGCTATAACTATTACAACCATGCCGTAGTATCATGCTGCTTCTCCAGTGAACCACTGCCAAGGGATCTAGTTTACGACACGCGAAACGGGACCCTTTGTCAGGAATTCAAGTTACAGACATACAGGAGGGATAAGAGCAGGCATGTTCATATGCAACTGAGACTGTTAAGGTGCGTTGTTCTTTGCTGCGATACCGACTCAAGTCCTGATGCCAACAACGAGTAGCCTGTGACCGAAACACTAGCTGGTGTCGACCTCCATTTGGACCTAACACTGACAGCGGATCTCCTGCCCTATCTTCAGCTACATTCTACAATTTGTTATTCTTTCTCATTCATCGGCTTCTTGGGGCAACTATGCTCGTGATGTCGATGAGTGCCGATGCTTTCCTTCGGCCTTTCACCACACCACTGGTACGAGCGCCTGATCGAACACTGCTCCGTACTGTACGTCTTCTGTCGCCCTTGCCATCTCTTACTTGGAACTGATGGGTGCCCTCCTGAAAAGAAAGGATGTCTTACTTGCAAACCCCCATCATCGTAGACGACTGGAATCGAACCAGAAGCTACTACACTCGAAACTCTTGCGCTATTGTAGACCTATGATACGAAAATGTACATCTTTTTATCCAAGTGCTCGAAGGGTGACTGGGACTTGAGTCTGTATACTAAACTACCTGCAGAAAGTAAGATTGGTCGGTAAAGTGTACGCTGACAGACTACATAAATCATCTGAAATGATTGTCTGAGGGAAGTTCAGTTAACAAGATCTCTTAACTCCGGTTGTGTATGCCACTACTTTTTGGCATTCGTACCTGTCCCCGCGCATAGTCCAAAAATAGATATAAAATTCCAGTTTCTCATTCTACAATGACGACAAAAAGAAGTACTTCTAAACAAAATGAGTCGACCAGGTTCGAACTGAGGACCTTCTGTGTGTTAGACAGATGCGATAACCAACTACGGGCCATCGACCCGTAGACCATGTCGTGTCCATAGTTAATAGCTATCGCAATGACACGCTTCTAGCTCACCAAAAGACCCATGTAGGAGTTCGGCGCGTAAGCGTTCGGCAGAAACACAATAACTCGCCCAATTATTAGATGTCCGAGATTATCCTGATCGCGACGAATGGACCTCCTTCAGAGAACACGGATCAAGATACTTCTGGCTTGTCGCAAAACTTTCGTATTTTGCACAAATGCAGGACCACGGGTTCGGACTAGCTAAATGCCGGTGATACGTGCATTATAATCCTTGTACCACGGAGCGGCGGTTATTCGATGTCGGGCTTACACTATTGATAGAAGTTGTAGATAAGAATAACGACCTATAGAATGTTCAAATCATATGCTACCATGATAAATGTATGATAGAGTTGTGACAAACAGCCGATATCAAGGCTTTCCCTACTAGTACCCTTGAACATCACAGAGTTATCGGTGGACCAACTAATGTCCATTCCGACTTGAACTTTCTGAACGGATGCGCTTCGGTATTGAAAACATCTGAACATAACCAGTCAGGCGCGCGCCCAAAAACACGAAAAAGAAATGCTAACAATCGTCGATGCTCATGTTTGTAGGATCATCAAACGTCAGATACCTTCGACGAGGTAATCAGTCTTCCGCGTTTCTAAAGGAAACAGAAAGGGACCCACAGATACTTCAACACCTCCGCAAACCAGAAACTCTCCATATTGTTAACCATGGTCGGCGTCTGGTCATCCACGTTGTAGATACCATCGTATGCAACGTCTGTTCGCAGGTATTTCTGGAAATTGTCGACTGCTTTGGCCACCCGATCAAGATACTTGGAATCTCCGGTTATTCTCCAAGCATAGAAGTTTGATTCGAGGACTTCTGGTCTAAGGATATAGAAGAGGATGTGATGTAGAACCCATGTTTATCGTAAAACAACCGTTGATTCGATGAGAGTGATCTGTCGCTCTGTTCGGGAGTGATGTAAGCGAAGGCTTCAGGCCCTATCCCTGTCCTGTCGATGTAGCGTATCATGATAAGTGCGGCCTCAAGGCGTGTATTAGGAAATACGTACTCTGTGCTGGCGTACGTATTCCAACATCCATCCAGTAGTTCCAGGGCAGTATTTACAATAGTCTGATTTTGAAGGATAGTTCCGCCTCGGCATAATGTCAGTATATGATATAATGGAGAAGCATGGTATAAAAAATTCACCGTACAACCAGTTGCCAGCATGAAAACAAAGCCAAATGTGAGCCGACGTCGTAAAATGTCTTCGATGACGCATCATAATCACGAGTGTAAAGATGATTGCCAACAGTGGAACGCTGTTGTGTACCATGAACTTGACATCGAGTTTAGCCCCGCAACCAGCAGAACCCACCGATAATAGATACTGGATAGAAGAATCTACAGCCGTTGCCCAGGTATCAATATAAAGACGATCTTCGGGGGTCCGCAAGTTGTGCATACTTGAGCAGGTATTCGAGGTAGCTGTCAGAACCGCCGCCCTATGTCTCGTATTCTTCTTCAGCGTTTTGTAAAAAAAGAGAACATGGATAGACTGACGACGTATCCCCCTACAAATTTTCCTGAAGGACGATCGATAATTTGCGCAGCGAGACCTGTTCGCTGTCAGGCGATGTATTGATAAATTTGAGGGTAAAGAACAACCGGGGAAGGGAGCGTCCTGGAAGCAGAACGGCATCAGGAGCCGTGTATCATTGAATAAAAAGCGGGCTCACCTGACCCGCTATATGGCGTATGGCTTTGTCGGCCAGTTTGCGGTATGTGTCGTTGCCGGTATATGCGCTTAACGTAGCCCATTCCATGAGTAACTAAGATCATATCGTGAGATCAACAAGCACAGAAGGACATGATCATCAAACACGTACTGTACCAGCTTCAGCGATGTTCGTCTATATGATTGGAGATCAGTGGAAACATTAAGAAAACAGAATAAAAACACTTGCCGTATCGACATCAGGCTTGTCTGACGTGAAATCAATTGTACCAAAAGGTAGGTTATTGTCCTACGAGACCAAAATGAATATACCTATCCGCAAAAGAAGTGTGTCACTCACCCCGACCCAGGGATAGGCCATCTTATCGCCAAGGTCGACAGCCTGCTTAAGAAGCACCTTATCCTTGGATCCCCGGAGTTCATAAACGCTAAGAATGCCCCCAAGATACCGTATTGTCGTCTCGAAGATGCTATAAAAGCCTACGATATACCTGACGTGATCCAAAGTCTTTGATGAGCGAAAATTGACGGTACCAACGTAGGCAATAGCATCGTTGAGGAGGTCCTGTATATTGGCTCAAAGGGGCTTGAGGCGAGGGAAAATATGCGCGCATACACCCAGGTCCATAACATACTGCATAGGTGATTAATAATCTGGAGGCAAGCAGAGTTCAGCGAGACAACCACGCACCATAGTGCTCATAGCGTCGATAATGGAAGCACCCCAGCCATTCCGAGCGTCAGAATACGACCGGCTTTTAGAAGCGAGATTATCATGGCCCCACGCGTATTGCCTATGATATGAGCAATACGAATGTGCGAAGATAAAATGAAATCACTTATAAGCGGCGTAGCTCGTCCTGAAAATGTCCTTGACCAAGTCGCGGTATTTCGAGGCCAATACAGGATCTGGAAGTGCTAGCCCAGCTTTTTGCATTGCCGAAACTTGCACCGGTCCAGCTGATAGAAACGAGAGAATTGAAAGAACGACTGTCCAACGCATGGTTGGAAACTTGAAGGAATGTAAGTCACGAAGAGCTTCTCTCCTGCAGGTAGGGCGTCGTACAGTGCAGGAGTAGTAGTGGTGATACAAGGTAAAGGAAGGTGGCTGTAAATGGAAGGCGTCGACGATCCTCCGCGGGGACAGATCGATGACGATGATCACCCATGGACGTAAATTGGCGAACGTCGTCGTCAAGAGTTCGTCATAGATACGCGTCATACGCATCACATCCACGAGGAGGCGCTAGTTCTATTCACCTCGAAGAACCAACCTTGCCTGCGAGTCCCATAATAACTAGAAGGGATGAGAGGAAACAAGGCGTAAGTTGTTGAGGCGATCCCTTTGACTGTGGCACACGCGAAAAGAGCTGAAGGAGAATAGAAAGCAGACAAGATAAAGCAGGCAGTCGAACTTGAGGCAAACGTAGCGAGGTCCCAAGCATTGAAAGAAGATACGAAAGACCAATAAATGGCAGTGCAAGTCACCGTTGCTCCGTACTAAGTATTCCGAGTTCTGCGTATACAGGTCTCGGTCTTGATTGCAATCGTTGTGGCAGCTGTGCTGACGATTTCGGTGGCGGGCCGCGGAGCATTTTGATGTTGAAGGCAGCTGCTGGAATGCCCCGTGGCGGCCCACCACTTTTGGATTAAGTGCACGTACACTGTTAAGAATCCGACGGAATCGGAGTTCGAATTGTACTTGATCCTGAACCACTGTCCCCACCGCTTCGTACTCGCTTCGTCAATGGGTCGAGAGTTGCTGATCCTGTAATAACCATAGCGTTTGCTGCAAGGTTCATTTCAGATCTCCTGCTAATCGTGTCAATCCACTGATTCACGCGATTAGAATTCCACCTCGAGGCTAATGGGCTGTATACACAGCCTTTCCTTCCCCCTCTCCTTGGGCGTCTTCAACAGCACGATAACAGCACGCTATGAATCACCCCACCTTTTTTTTTCTGGCCCCCTTACACGCGACGAAACGTAATGGATGTTATCTGCATGTATGTGCAAAGTTTGATAAAGGCCCCTGCTGTAAACGTTACAGGCCGACGTATTATTCTTAAATTCCCAGGCACGCTGAAAGCGCGTGTCTACCTTTCATTGTATATCTACCTGACGCGTACACATCTCAACCTCTTGCCTGCCTTCAATGTCTTTCTTTCATATCTTAAAAACTGTATGCCCAAGATTTAATTTCTATCGTCTACCCGTTCTCTAATTCGCAAGCAGATCCTCTTACATGGTCAATACGCTTGCGTCTACCCAGCTGCCTTCGACCCAAAGAACGAACGACGTACGCTCTGTCCTCATCCTAAACACCCCTCCCTTTGACATTCCGTCAGGTCAATGCTACGACTGGTTCTGGAACAAGGTCGCGAGCAACGGGCAGTCGGACAGGATAACGCGTGTAGAGATGACGACTGCCGACAATGTTGTTCTGAGGTGTGCTCTATTTTTACATGGCCACGATGGCTCGGATTCGGATTCGGATTCAGATTTGGTAGGCATTCTTCCGTGCTCTGGAGCCTAACTTACTTTCAGCTATTCAGCCTCCGCTCGCCACGGTCATTCTCTTCCATGGAAATGCGTGCCATTGGTGGGATTGTGCTTTTCTCGCTCATGAATTTCATGCGAGACGGTGTAACGTTCTGTTGGTTTCGTACCGAGGGTAAGTGCTACGATTATCTTATTCCAAGTATCATGTTTTCATTCTTCAAAAGATATGGAACCTCCGATGGTTTTCCTTCTGAGAAAGGTAAATACGGCCAAGCTTCCCCAAAATTTTCCCATGAACTGAATGCAATAATTTAGGTCTGAGAGACGATGCACAGGCGGCGCTTGATTATGCGTTGGCTGACCAGCAGCTCTCCCAGGTACCGATTGTACGCATCTTTCACCTGCGACTGTAGTGCAGAAGTTCACGATGCACCCCAAAGATTGTATACGGTCACTCATTGGGCGGAGCCGTAGCCATCGACCTCGTTAGCCGAAATCCTACCAAGGTACGCTTCAAAACATTGTCGACCCCTCCAACTCAACCGTCAATGCAGGTATTCGCCCTCATTGTGGAGAATACATTTCTCTCCATACCTAGCATCGTCCGAGGCTGGAGCGTCCTCCGCTACTTTGCTTTCATCGTGCACCAGAAATGGGATTCCGAGTCCAAGATATCATCTATACCTGGGACGCTGCCGCTTCTCATGCTCAGCGGACAGAGAGATCCAGTTGTTCCCGAAGCGCATATGAAGAAACTGTGGGAACTACGTTCATCTGGCGACTTGGATACATTCAAGTCTTTCCCTTCGGGAGGACATGGTAGGTCTTCGACTTGTATCTCGTGTCGACTATGTACTGATGATCTGGCTATAGAACCTAGCGCAGTTGAGCCACATTATTGGAACACGATTGAGATGTTCCTGACCACTGTACTTAAGAACCAGAAATCCGCTAACTCTCCTTCATGAGCAGGCCTTGTAAGAGAGCATCCGTCTCAGTATTTTTCTATTTGCATTATATGTATAGTAACGAGAGCTCCTGTTCCCCAACATTATGTGTATGCAGTACAAATGATACATATAAAAAACCGTCACGAAGTTACATTAGAAGCTTGCGGCACACGAGAATGCACCGATAATGTCCCACTCTCCGCTGACCTCCTACTACCACTATCAGCCGACGGCGCCGCCTGACCAAACCCCATCGCCCATGCCAAGTCCAGCTGTGCCGTCAGATACGATATCTCACTTTGCATCCCAGCAATCTGTTTGTGCAGCCGCTCCTCGCTAGCAGCCCGCCTCTCCTCCAAGCTGAATTTCGTGCTCCGCAACGAAACCTCGCGTCTCAGACGCGCGACAAATTCTTGCAGCTCCGTCTGCCTAGCAGCGGGTGGGAGAGGGAAGGCGAGGAGAGTCAGATTCTCGCTCGTAGTCGTAGAATACTGTGATGGGTCCGACGCTCCTAAACTCTGTACGCCAGTGGGAACGTCTGCCGTTCTTCTGGATATTAGTGAGAAGTTCCTGACTGCTCTGTTTGATTCCATTGTTTTAGGCGGTGTAAAGGTGAGGCGTTGATCGGGAGGTGGTATGATGACTGGATCACTGATGGAAGACGGTTTCGTATTTAGCCTATTCCTTGGCGTAGCCCGCGTACGCTGGAGAAATAGATATAGAATGATTCCTAGGACGCCGAGGAAAGACGTCGCACCCAGCCCGAGATTGATCATCTGCACGATGAAATATATCCTGGAATCAAGACAGTCAAACCAGCATCAACGGGTGGATTGGAAAGACTCACTGATCCGCTGGTGCACTGGTTGGAGAAGGCTGTGATTCGGAAGTACTTTCCCGAAGATTGAAAGGTTCGCTCTCGGCGATGAGCGTGTCCGCCTGAGGCCTGAACGTAGCATCGTGTCAGTCATGTCAGCAAGCAGTAGAAGCAAATGATTATGACGTACTCGGAATGAAGGAGTGCACTAATGATGCAGTTCCTGTACCAAATATATCAGAGGCAGCAGGCACAACGCTTACGGGACCCACCCTAAAGAAACGATAGATATATCTTCAGTGGCGTCGGACGTGAAATTGGCGACGTTCGAGACAGACTTAGTTGTCTTCCCGCCGCTTGTGCAAGACATGGTTAGGTAAAAGTCGGCTGGATCACCGTCGAAGTGGGCCAGAAATGCGGAAACGGTTTCGCCCGTCCGCACATTGTCAGGGACGGAGTTGGTGATTTTGAGCCCAAATGACCTGATTGCAGCGGATCTGCATGAGAGGCACAAGGGTGAGAGAAAATATCTTTAGCGCAGACGTTGAAGGACCCACAGTATAAACAAGAGCAAGCCATACATCGGCCCTTGAACAAAGATGAGAAGAAACAGTGTGCCAAACGTCGGATGTGAGAAATAGGGAACGTGAAGGCGGAGAGCAAGGAATGACGGAACGACAGAATGGGCGATCCAGTGACAAATGCTCGTCCGTCATGTTTATATATGCAGACCAGAATGGGAATATCAGAGAGATGGTTGGGAGGACATTGATCATCTTGCTGTGTTCCGTGACTGTCAAAACTCTTCAGTCGCTTATGTTCACCGTGTCCGCCAAAGCTGTTGAGGCCAGGTCTCAAAGGAAGTCAACATATTAGCAAGCACCGGTAACGAGGCCAGAAGTAACGTGTGGATTACTACTAGACGCTGCCACTTATGGACTTGGAAGCGAGCGAATTGAGTTCCTTGATGATACAACTTAATCCTGTGTACAAGCATCAACGATTAAAACGACTCACTAAATTATAGCCTGGCGGCTGTCTCCGAGTTCCCCTTGATATCTGCCTATACATCATGAGAGTTCATACGTTCAAACATCCGCAAGATGTAGCGATGCATGCCGAATCCCGATGTGACGAATCCAACACAAGATCTGACGGCTCCTTCATCACAGTAAGATGAAGGGGTCATCTATTTCCTCTAGAGGAAGAGCAGGAAGAAAATGCTACAGCGTTTTGACAGTGGTGATATTGCATCGTCAATTTCCACAAACATATGCATACCGTACGTACAGATATCGATCCACCCAGAACAATGGAATGACTGCCCAAGTGCTCATCTGTTGGGCCTCGCTGCCTGCTGCCTGTTCTAGTATAAAAGTAGGCAAAACTGGGGTGACTACAGAATCTATGCCGTTGATGGTCATTGACTCTTCAAGCTTCAAGTTTGAGCGCTTGAGCCACTGGTCAAGAGCGGCTGTCACTGAGCGTGGTGGTCGGAGTCCAGACATTTTGGTCTCCGATCCAAGGTGACCGGGTCGGGTTCTGCCGGACTTTCGTGCACTTCAGTGTCGCTTATCTACGAGTTTTCAACCTTGTTGTTCGCTCAATTACAGACAAAGGAACAATCTTATCAGCGTGTTCACCGAAGATAGCGAGCGGGCTGAGCGTGTCTGCAAACACAAAAAAAATCTCTTCGCCCTGAGATTCACTTTTGAGAGGAGTCGGCAGCTTCGGACATTTACTGTGATACTTTGAAAGGATGGTAGAGCAGGTACAGGTAGCGAAATGGGATTATTCATGGATGTCAAGAGGAAGACATGCCCTGTACAATCTGTCTGGAAGTATCGTGCTTCTACCAATGCAAACGATGATTCGGGCACTGATACCCATCGGGGTTCTTGAACAGATACAGCTGGTGGTACTCCTCCGCGTCCCACCAAGGTCCGGCCTCGACGATCTCGGTGACGATCTTCCTTCCTGACGGTGTAAAGTGTTTCTCCTGCACCTCTTCCGTCACACGTCTGGCAACAGCCGCTTGGTCGGGAGAACGTGTAAAGATGGCGGAACGATATTCTACTGGGATATGAGGAGATGCGGCAGGGATGAAATGAACGACGGACGTGTACCGGTGTCCTTGCCTTGGCTGTTCAAAGTCGTTGGGTCGTGGGTGCGGTAGAAAAACTCTGTTATCTATGTTAGCTTACGGTTGACAGTAAGAGGGATGACGACGCACCAACGAACTCATCATACCCCACCACTGCTGGGTCAAACTCTATCTTGACCGCTTCTGCGTGGTCCGTCGAGCCTGTACAGACAGTCTTGTAGTCCGGGCTCGTCGCGTCTGCTTTGCCACCAGTGTAGCCCACGGTGGTGTTGATTATTCCTTTGCCCTCAGGATAGTGCTTGAGGAAGATATGCTGAACACCCCAGAAGCATCCTGAGGCGAAGGTAGCGATTTCGGTTGGCATGGCTGATATGTTAAAACCATTCCGTTCCCGAGTGTAGTTATAATAGGCGCAGACGAGATGAGTAATGCCTCCAAGAAATCACAGCAATTCGCGCCATGGATGACAGAAATGAGAAATATTTTCATGTGCTTGTGTGGCGACATCGGTTTAATCGGATACTCCAAATCGGGATGCCACGTTCAGATATTAAATTGTTGGGGTCGATGGCGAAGTTGGTTATCGCATCCGTCTCACAATTTCCTCAATTATTGTACACACGGAAGGTCCTCAGTTCGATCCTGGGTCGACCCATACGAGCTTGGAATTTTGAAGGTTTTTTTTTCCTCCCAAGATTGCCCAATGCCCATTTCCCAATCCTCAGTCGTCAATTCAAGTTATTTAACTTTTGTTATTCAGGTTGTGCAATGTGTGTACGAGTGGACCCTGGAAATAACGAGACGCGAGTCCCGACTGTTGCGTGTAGAGATGTCGAAACCTCCTTGAGGAAAGGTGAGGCTTCCTTCTGTTCGTTGAACCAGTTATGTCTTGAATGTGGCCACTTCAGCAACCTGAGGCAGACATTGAAGACCACTAGATGAAACGTTCACATTGGATATGCATTGTTGCAGAAACTGCATGCAAAGTACACGGAGAATGAACGAAAACTCCCAAGGCTCGAATGTAATTAATCGATCTCTTCCTCGCTCAAAAACTTGATGGTTGTACCCAAAGGCTTTCGATGTTCATTCCAGGCTACACGCTACCAGTCAGAGTGGGATACTTAAGTGGAATAGATATAAGGATACGTACCCTTGCAGACGATCTATCATCCGAGCCTTCTTTCATCGAGCCCCGCCCAGTCAACCAGGGGAAGGGAATAGATGCCCCGTCTCGCCTAATGGCGGGCGTTAAAAGTGCATAAGCGAACGCTCGTCCAGTTACAACGTTTTCTTCATAACCCTTGCGAACGTAGAATCTCCATGCAACGACCGTCCAAAAATACCCAAGTCCCGGGGCTTAGAGACGTGTTATTTGTAGAGACCACGTCCTCAAAATATAACAGACGACAACCGAGGAGTTGGTTATGCGTCCTGCACAGCCTTATCGTAGAAACGGATGGAAGAAGCGACCCCAAGCCAACGCTTCCCACGTCTTGTCAAACATATAAAAGTTCATGCAAGGCGCCTGTCTCCAGCAAACCATATACACTCTCTGCTGGTCAGAAAAACACCATCAATGCACACTACGATCCCTTTCCTTATTTCAGCGCTCGCCATCTCGGTGGGCGCAGCCAGGCTCGAGGGGAGGCAGGGTGCTACTAGCTCGACGAAGGTTGACCCTACCACAATCACCCCCTACGGTACCAACACGGGTTCTCCCCCTGACAGTACCATCCTGGGCACTTCATACACCGCATTGCCGTCAGTTATAGGAAGAGCGATAGACTCAGATGGGGGAACGGGCGAGGAGTACACTTGTACGTGTACACCCAAGTCGAGCAGCGCCACTATCAGGACACACATAGGGGTGCCCATCAAGACGCCGGCATGAATGAGAGGAAGAGATCTGATAGATAGTTCAGTTGTGTATATCGTGAAATCACAAAGTTTACGTACTTAGCGAACTGGCATGATGTCGTGAACATGTGAACCATGAGTTTGACGAGATAGGTCTTGAACATAGGCGTCTCGCACGTAGAGAGAGGTAAGGGTGTGGCATGTAGTTTCTCAGCATGGCATAGCTAAACAGCGCGTGAATGCAGGTCGACCGGTGTCAAAGAGCTGGTTGGCCCTAGTATTCTTGTACTGTAGTTCACTTGGGAACTTGACACCAGGAGATAAAATAACAGAAGCTAATGATAGATTGAGGCTATGGCCGGAAAGCCGGGCGGTGATCATCATGCTTAGTTGTTACGGAGCGCATGGAAAGTCGTAGTGTGGAGGAGCGACATCGAGGGAGAAAAAGTGTTGGCCTCTTAAGTGTTTTATTTGGTCTGTAGATGTATCATGAGTAAAGAATAATTGAGCGACGCCAGTGTAATGAATTACTGACCGCGTATATGCAGTGATATCTCCGCGTTGCATCAGAGGGACGATCATGATGCAGTACACCTATCACGATAGCAGCACGGTTGCTGATGGCGCTCTCCACACCCTGCCGCACCGCCGCCATCCATCGTCGTCCGGTCGAAGTCATATAAAAGGCCCTTCCATGCAGCACAATACTCCAACTTGACGTTCACCTCTTCCCTGCCGGCCAGGGATAGACAACAAAGCACTTCTCTCATCTTCATCACTACTCTTACAATCTCTCTCCATCATGCAGCCCATCTCAATCTCCTTCCTCGCCATCGCGCTCAGCCTCGCAGCCGCCAACGCCATGCCCGCCATGGAGAACGCCAACGGCATCGCCGCGCGGCTCGCGACTTCCACCAAGACCGGCAGTGGTAGCAGTAGCACTAGTACTCCCAGCTCGGGCCTTGGCGGAGACTCTGACTCGAGCATGGACATGTCGGACTCGTCATCGCAAACGACTTTGACGTGTACCTGCAAGCCGAAGGGCATGAAGGGCGGCGGTAGTGGGTTAGATTCTTCCCAGGGTCCATCGTCATCGATGAGGCGTCGCACCAAAGGTTCAAGTGACAGCTCAGGGCCAACATCGGATACTTTGGGTGGAAAGGGAGGTGCAGCAGGGGGAAAGAAGTACACCTGCGAGTGCCATCCTGGCAGCGGCGGGCTTGATTCTGAACCACCTCTGGGCGACGATCCCTCCAGTAGCGACTCATCTCTTGGGGGTGATTCATCGCCTCCTGGAGGCGACTCGTCATCCTTTTCGAGCGACTCGTTGCCTTCGAGTTCGACGGACAGTGAATCATCCTCAGACAGTCCTGACGATACTTCTTCGGGTGAAGAACAACCGATGGACGGTTCAACGGACGGCGAGGTTCAGTGAGCGAGGGAGGATGTAAGGAGTGAGTAGAGAAAGAAGGGCGGAAGATGGAAGTTCTTCTGGGAGTGATCCTTTCGGCATGTACGAGTAACATCCACGGTCGAGTTTGCACTGTTTAGAATTTCTTCAATCAGACTCCATGCTTGAAATCATGTTGATAGTTCAGACCTTCTTTCGCAGTTACGTGCTATGACAAATCTAGTCCACGACATCATCGTAACGATTCTAGTGCTTACCCTATGGCTTCAGTGATGGATCATGGGCGACGTCTTTATTGAGGGGCGGCTCTAGTCCCGGCCAGCGTGTGCACTAAAAAGGACTTGCATTCACAAAATTGGACGATTTGTTTTTCGTCCGCTTCTTTGGCAAGTTTGACGAGATGTAAGGAGATCTTTCCTCTGGCCTATAAGCACGATTAGAAAAGTAGGGCTAGAGGTGAAGGCAGGATGAAATTCCTTGCCGAGCGTTGTGCCTGTTGCTCGTCGACGAGTCTAGTATGACAGAACGAGGTGAAGAATAGCAAGGTAAACACTATGCGAGGCCCAAATCATCAGATTCTAGTGAAACATAATGAAGAATCAAAATTACACGAATTTGTCGACCCGCAGAAATTCCACGACCTCAAGACCACGCTACACCTATCCTATCCTCATGATCAGACGCGGCGAAGAACAATGACCTTTTGGGGGGCCAAGGCAGGATCCAAGGTGGCTGGTAGGAGCAGTCATCGAGGAATTCGTTCTTTCTGGTATCAATGGTCGATATACCGCTCTTGCTGCCGCTCATTGAAGATACCTGGCCGGTCAACACGTTAGAAGTGAAAACAAAACAAGGACAGTCTCGAATCGGTAGCACACACATCGAGCCAGAGGTCATGTTCGCCAGCATATCAAATTACTTCAATCCCTCCTCACTTCAAGATCTAATTGTGGGCGAAAATTTCGGTGGTCGTCGAGCAGCGAGGCAATATTGAATTTGATGGTGCTTGAATCGGGAGCAATTCGAAAAGTGGGCATTCACAACTTGAGGATATCAGGAAGAAAGAGACAAGCACATGCAAACAAGGAAGAAGCGGACACAGCCTGTACGATGACTCAGACTAGAAAAGAGGAAGGAGGGACCCATGAGGATCCACATTCAACAAGGCACCCAAGTCACGTGGCCATGCCGCTTTGATTTCTTCCACTTGCTAGTAGCCTATACAATGTCGTGTAGCTCTACTAGAATTCAAGGCCTCCAAGAAGTTACAACACCATACCATTCTATTTAAACTCTTGACCTTCAACCAAGCGCCAATGATAGCCAGCTCCCGCGTTGCAGGGTCAAATTTATATGTATGTCATCCTGCAGCCACTACGAGAAACCAACGCGGGAATAGAAGCAAGGGAATGCCGATGAGCATGATGCACTGGGAGGACGGAAGTTCCGAACTACTGGAGATGATGAAACGTGTGTGCTTCGCCCAGAAGGGTACCTCCGATGAGAAGAGCAGAACCTGAAGGGCCGCTATATACGTGATGTTTAAAATAGACGACGAAAGAGATTGTGCAGTGCAGCCGATAGCCTGAGAAAGAGCCTCACTGTGAGTCAAATTTCGTCGTGACAAATTCTCAGTGAAAGATACTTACTGATACTTATCATACCCGCATGCTCCAAAAAAGTCAAACTGGCACCTTCATATGATGGTGTACTCCGAACACAAACATCCCTGTTCTTCTAGGAATTCAAGTACGTCCAATCCCCGTTATCGATTTGCAAGGTACGATCTGATGTGCTCTCTGTCTGTTTTTTTTTGCTACCGGAAACAGGTACAGACGTTTTCTTTGTGGAGCAATGAATCCCCACCGCTCTATCACATTTATGTTCCTTGTCCTTGTCGTCAAGAACGCCTCTTCCCGATGCCGGTTGCGAATACCAGGTACATTTATGTTTGATCAAGTTTCGTGCTACCACGGTATGACTCAACCCTTAACATAGTACGCGATTATGGAAAACGCGTTACCATTCTTTAGGTCGCCTCGGCTGGTCGCGCTCATGTACCCGATCAACGAGAATTCTATATGAGAGCAATGCAAGGTCAGTACTATCCTCCCCCAGCCATGTACTCACGCCTTGCACCCCAGCCTCCTATACACCGCGTCTTCTCATGCGAAGCCTGCGAGCGGGCATTCAAGTCCCAAATCTCTCTTGACGAGCACTACCGCGGCTCGCCGAACCATCCCAATTGCTTCGTCTGCGGTCGAGGGTTCCGAAATCAAGAGATATGCGATACTGTGGGTCGTGTGGTCTGGTATTCCGAGTTCCTGTGTAACGTATCTACTTCTAGCACCACGACGACGCCCACCCCCGTGTCGTTTGCTCAGTCTGCAGGATCACGATGTACGAACACGAGCTCCCTCAGCACCTCAAAGACTCCCCGCGGCATCCTACCTGTGAGCTGTGCCCGGATGCCCTGGGATTTGAGAGCGACGCTGAATTCACTTTAGTATACCGTTCACTTTTGTTTATTCAAGCCCACTTATTCTTCGTGTAGCATTGTGAGTCGACCCACGCTGAATCTTACTGTGTCAAGTGCCGCCGTATATTCGACAATGTCAAAGAACATTACTTGGATTCAGTGGTTCACCCGAAGTGTGAGCGGTGTGAGGAGCCCATGGGGTTCGCTAGCGAAAGGGAATACGCAGAAGTAAGTATTTTTCCTTATCGTTTACTCGTTCGTACCAGTACTAATTAGCAACTCTAGCATGTTAACACTATGCATTTCTGTGCCATGAAGGTACGCTATCCCTTTCCGTCGAGTCGATACCCAGTCCTGAAGAAAGTACGTCTAAGTTGCCCGAGTCTGCAATCGGCCTCTCGTATCCTCCCATAGTGTGTACTTCTGTGACCCGTGTATACCAACTGAAAACTAACAGTCAAGCTGTGCAGAGCGAGCAAGAAAGGGCCAATGAGGCGATGGTCCGAAACCTCGTCGACAAATCACCCTCTACTGTACGGCCTCAATTCTTATTTAACCCATTCGACGACGACAGCCTGAGGTGAACATTATCAAATCAAATTCATTAACAAAAGTAGACCTGACTTAGAGTTTCATTACTTGCAGAGAAGTACCAACGACTTCCGGTAAACAGTCGCTTCCAGTTTCCGTACCGGGATATCAGCCTCGAGGAAACAGCTACGGCCCCAGACCTTTTTCTCTTCACTGCCGGGTTTGCTTTGCCAATCCTTGCCACGAAACAACCGCAACTATGTGCGGTCACGTATTCTGTAAGAGGTATGTAATTATACCAGTGTATTTATATGGGAGAATTCACGGAGAGGACTTCGTAGATGCATAACCAAGACGATAGCATCGACGTCGCACTGCCCGGCATGCGGCGAGATGATCCTTCTGTATATGCTCTTCAAATTATATTGGACTAATGCAGTGGTACTAACATTTTTCGGGGAAAGACATATTTATATCACACTTTCTTGTTACTAAACGGTCTGATCGAAATCTGCCCTGCCCTGCCCATCAAAATCCGAACACTTCTCATTGTAGTTAGAAATTTTTGATGCAGTAATAATATAGACGATAATATCCTAGCTACATTGAAAAACAGGCCGAAGTCAAAGGCAGAAGAAGACGCAAAATTTTTCCAAGCTATGCATGAATAATGTCGTAGGTAGGGTCTAAAGTCCGAGTTTCTACGGGACCTTAAGCGACAGTCCCATACCGAGCAGATCCAATATATAATCCTCTTCGGCCTAGCATAGACGGCTCCCCAGCCTTGAGATTGAGGACAAGATCTCATCGACATCGACATTCCTTCCTTCGCTACGGTCAAACGAACTGGACAACTGGCTTAATACCGCGAAAGTGTAACAATCTGTAATGCTCGTCAGACGATGCAGTGCAAGACGCGCCTGGATGGTCGGTGATATAAGCAGAGGAAGAGAGTAAGTAGTACCGCAACCGGACTAGGCGATAACGCGTTGTTTCGTACGGCATCCGTTGTGTAAAGGAAGCGGCATCCAATTTGTTGGGGGTGTAGGGAGAAGCGTCGGATTTATCATGCGAACGAGTGACTGTTGCAGAGCGGTCTACTATTCATAAGGGGGTATCTCAACACTGCAATCGATGCTTCGTAGGGCGCATAGTGGTTAAGGGTAGAATTTGTGTCCGTGACAGAACTTGAAGGGGCGCTTTGATGTAGCAGGGGTCGAGTCGTCCAATGTACCACTAATGATTGTCCTTACGAGTCGCCGTTGGCGGAGCATGCAACGAACTATTATGAAATGACAAAACCAGGCCCTATTTAGATTTGATGAGTAAAACATTCAGGAAGCGGAAGCGTGAGTATGTAGCAGAATGTTAACAACAACAGTTAGCCTTCCTTGGTCTCCAGATGCGATACCAACACGGTGTCGTCAATAATAGCACATTTCCTGGCACAGGATGCACATAAATCTCCCCTCCACTTCACATTCATTTGTCTTCCTCTCTTCAATTCAGCTCCTTCATCGCCATGCCCACCACGGATGGCTCTTAGCGGTACTGCCGGGAGATTAACATGGATACTGGAGGGGGGGACTGAGGATACAATGTACGACCCTTCCTTGTCTTCATCAAGCCAAACATTGACGTATATATGCAGGCAGGAAGGCATGAACGTGCGCGATGACACATCAGATATACTGGACCGATTCAGAAGTCCTGGGGGACGGCAATCAAGCTTGGTTCGGTGTTGTCTCCTAGGGCAGTCCTCAGTGGGTAGTGTTGCGTTGACGTCTTGAGCGAGTCTGAAAATCTTGAGTGTGACATATGCAAGGGAGGTAAGATCCTGACGCACCAGAGCAAAATGACATCGCCAAGATGCTGAGTCCCTCTCACACCAGGATTTGAATGTCCTGCGTTAACGCCCGTCCACGTTTCATTCCAAGTAAAATTATCTTCGCCGAAAAATCATGATAATGCAGGAAATTTGAAGTGGTCATAGTAGCTATCGTCGGTTGTTATAAACCGCCAATTCATGCAGGAATTAGACCTACTTGAAGATACTGCCGCTATCCTGGCATTTGACACCTGCAATCTTTTCAGAGGTTCAAGAATAGAGCCGGCATCATGCAGATCGTTGAAGAGAAAGAAGTGTGGCGTGAGAACGCCCGATTTTCTTCCGGACCACTTTACGTCTCTACCTGTACGAGGTGAGAATATGTTCGTCTTTTTATCTCTTCCTCACGACAATACCTGTTAGAATACAGTAACCAGGAAACGTATAGTCTATGGCGCACAAGCACGCCGAACTGACAAAATACTCGCGTCAGACCAGGACCGGTCCTCAAGTTCATGCGGCGTACATCATGGACATGAACGCAGACGGGATCCTTGATTTTAGCTTCTGCCAGCTTTGGTAGAAGGCGATATGGCTATGCCAGCATGTACTGGTGCAGACATCGATCGATAGTTTTGAATACGCAACCTGGTGTTCGGTCTGCACCGTCCACACCTTCATCCATCGTTCCTTCGAGGTCAGGACATACCCTGCAGCTGCGACACGGAACATTATCGACAGCCTGTCATGGGACTACATCTTTTCTGGTTCCACACCCGAAAGACGCTCATGGTCGACTTCCCGCAAACGGAACTCCCATGAAAGAAACGATGGCGTAGTGAGGCGTGATTCTATGGTGACGACGATCAAGATCAAGACGGAGCAGTTAGAGAGTGATTAGCTGGGGATGGAGAGAAGAGCGAGTGTCGTGGAGCTGTCGAGAACGATGTCATAGGAGGCCAGTCATCCGCCTCTGTTCCTTTCCTCCCGATCTAGCAATCTAGTCTCTAAAGACTGGTGCTGCCCGCCTCGTTCTGAGCTAGTGATGGAGAAGACCAGAATCGCTCGTTCTTGAACAGCTGTAGTACCTGCATAAGTATGGAAAAGGTGGCGCAAACTAAAAGAAAACATACTGTTTCACTATCTATCGGCAAATATCCGTCCATCCGTACCATTTGCCGCTGTAAAGCGTACACCCCATACCGCGGCTTGCGACGTTACCGGTACCATGTCCTTCCGGCATGCTTTTACTCTATCCGCATGTCGCGCCAATCAAGTTCGTCATGTCATCCTTTCGAGCCCAATGTACTTACACCTCTTCAGTTGAATACCTATCGGGTATCCCTCCCAGCCCAATTGAGCTAGGCCGCTCCTCCTGTATGTCGTTGGCTTGGATAAGTCACACCGGGTCGAGGCAGACTGGAGGTTTGTCGTGATGAACATCATATGAGACGGCACACGATTAACAGTGGGTATCGCACGGCTCTTATCTCTGGCTATAACTTCTCTCGACCTGGATTACGTACGCTTCGATGCGCTTCCTAGGGTCGCCAAATATTTTGGCGAGGTTACGGGGACTGAGGTTGATGTTGGGTGCGAGTGTGAGTACGGTGCCGCCGTGTCCAGTGATGCTTCATAGGCAGGCGATGGCATTGCTGGAGATTGAGGAGTTGGAAGCGAACACGGAAGGAGGCGTCTGCCGATGGAGTCCGTGGACGACGTCTTTCGCAGAAGTTGAGGGTGAGGAGGTACTACAAGGTGCAGATGATGCTAGCCAGGGCTAGGCGTTTCCTCGGCGGCGCTATCATCGGATTGTTCCCAAAGGATGCGCGCGGTGGATCAGGGTGATGGAACAGGAGGGAACGTCGAAGACCTAACACAACGCTGACGGTATTTCCAACGGGTTCTTGATCATAGAGTCGCCGTGTGCACAGGATTAGGCTCTGGAACATAAGCGAACAACGTCCACAAGACGTGATGCATCATGAAAGACGTCGACCCCAACCACATAGTCCTGCCCTGCCACCATCCTTGGCTCACTACCGAATCGAACCTCCCTAAACGTGGGGCCTCTCTACTGGAGGATCCTCAAGTGCGTGGCATTGTGCGAGAAAACAATTGTTGCTATAACGTCCCAAATAAGTTCTCCTTGTGTGGAATATGTGTACGTCGATACCCTCCCAGGGTTCTTGGGTACTTTGGCGACGTTTTCAGGGCTAAAGAGGTCGACGCTGGGGTGATTGTGGTGCTGCGGGATCCTGTGATACTTTCGAGGCAGGTGATAGTGCCTCTGGAGGCTGAGGAATTATGGAGGTGAGCATGGAGAGAAAGCGTGGGAGTGGTTGACAAGTCCGCGAATGACGTCCCTTGTCGCGTAGACGTCATGGTAGCACCATGGTTACGTAGCAGCCAATCGATATCCAGTAGATGTAGTGAAGAGTATCGACACGGTTTGCAAGTGATGTAGAGAATCGGCGTAGGACAAAAGTGCCGTCTTTCGTGGGCGCATATCAATGAAACCTAAGCGAGATGAACCGCATCTAAAATAATGAGTATGAGACTTTGAAAAAGGTGAGAAGCTGACGCACCAGACTGAAATAGTACCATCGTCAGTCGATATGCCGTTGAGTCCCCTCACACTCGACCCCAACACTAACAGTCGCATTCCTGGGCATCCGAATACCCTGCTGAGATCGAGGGACGGGAAATCACGCAGTAGCTATTGTCGGCCATGTCTGGATGTACTATAAATCACTCGTCGACAAGAATAGTACTGGACTCACTTGAAGAAACGCGTCATCTGCTAAGACCAGCTATTCAAATTCCCGATCCCAACAATCGCGTCGTATCGTGAAGGTTCAGAAGGTTCGAGAATGCTGCTGGTATGTACCATGAAGGTCGTTGAAGAGAAAGAGGC